CCCCAACTGCCGCTGAACCAACCACTACTTCCACCTCGGCACCCTGCTCCGAGGCCGGTTAAGGCCTCCCCGCAGGATGGACGCCCCCACCAAGGAAAGGCCTCCCGGCCCTAGAACCCCCCTAAGCTATCTCAATAGCTTATGCTGTTGGGCCCCAACAACCAAAGTTACCCCTAAACATAGAGGAAAGAGGGATGGGCCAGACATGTTGAGATGTCAAAATGAGAGAGGGAGAAGGGAGTGATGAGGTGGCTTCGTGATGGAGTAAGGAAGGCTAAAATGAAGAGGGGCTGAGAGTTGTTGTCGGTTGGGATAAGGGAGAAAGCTCAAGCCATGACGTTTCTACTTTTTAGTATATGTATAGATATAGATTTAGATGTCATTTGATAAATCTTTTTTGAAAGATGTGACATCTAAAAATCATGCACAGTTTACAGATGGTTTGGTTGGAGGTGAGAAGCTTGATTTTTTGCTTCCCGAAATAGACTCCAATAGAGAGTTTCTCATGTTTTTTTTGGAATTCACTGTTTTTGCAGCTAGAACTTCACCCAACCAAACTAGAAACTATGAAACATAGGCTGTTGACCGTGCAAAAAAACAGGCCAAACAAGGCCTTAGGCTGTATTTTGTTCCATGGGTGTTTATTGAAAAAACTCTACTACATCAGTGCCACATAGGCATTGATATTTATTGCATATAAAGCAAAATAAAGCAACTGTTTAATTTCACCATTTATAAAATAAATAGTAGAAAAATGAAACACTTTAATTTTTATGCATATGAAAAAATATAAATAAACATTTTAAATGAAAAATATAAATAAATAATCTATCGATAAACGCCCAAGAAATCAAACACATACTTATTTTTTGGTATTGAGTTTCGGAATGCGTCTCAAAAATGAATACCGAAACGCGTACCGCGTTGATGCCAATTAAAAAAAGCCACGTGCTGATGCTTACCGTCAGTAATTAGTTATTTGGTTGTAACAGAAGGTATGGGAGCAGGGGAGGTTTTTCGTGCAGTCTGAAGTGTGCAGTCTGGGCAACACGGCACCAGAAAATGATAATGAATCACAAGTATTTAATATTTAGATATTAATGTGGTATAGGTTCAGTTTGAAAAGAGTATAAATACATATAAAATATAAAATTTTGCATATTATATATTTACATTTATACTCCTTGTTTTGTATTTTGAAAGGATGGCGCACTCATTACTTAATACTCAATGAATTGGTTGGCCTTATTTTTCTTTTCACGCCATTCCATGAGACCATGAATTGGAGAAGGTGACACCGACCCCACTGACCCACCCCTCTCCCTCTCTCATCTTTTGCATGGCTCGTGACACGTATCTTCCCTCCCTCTGTGTCTCTGTCATCCTTTCTGTTCACATGTTTCACGAAGTTGTAGGGTATTTACTTTATTATTTTTCAAATAAGAGCCAAACGTCCTAAACCCCACTTTATATAAACAAACGTTGATATTTGAATTTATTTTTATGAATTATACAAAATTAAAAATAAGAATTAGTTTTGTTTATTATATAATATAAATAGATGTTGAACTAGCTGAGTTAGATTAGATAGCTCTAAATCAATTAATGCCTCGATTTTCTTTTTCAAAATAAAAGGACATGCTTTGTACGTGCTCTTAATTATGTTCTCGTTAAATTGTTTGCCACTAGCATATACTGTATCAAGTTACCAGATTAATTACATATTTACATGTGCGGTTTTGGTAGAAAAATAACGCCTGGATGTTTTCTGGGTGTTCACTATAGTGGTTTTGTTTTCAATGACTTTCAGGAATCTTCAACAACCATCTATTAAGATGAAACCGTTTTTATTTTCATTTTCAAGCAGGTCCCATAAATCATATCACGAAAAGGAAGTGATGGTAGGGCCCCATTGATTGAAATCAATTGGCCAAATCGTAAAATAAAAAGGTTAATATAATTGGGCGAGTATTGTATTCCACTTTGACAATACAATAAGGTTCATTTCAAATTCATTCTAGAGAATCGGCTATTGGTATTGAAGAACAGGTTTTGAGTGGCTCTGAACACTTAAATCAAGAGTGGTTGATGTTGATGTTGGTTAAGACCAAGGTTTGAAATTTTGATATATATTTGATCGTATCAATTAATACATATTGTATAAGGAGCTTTTTGATATGCCCCTATAAGGGGTGCTTTGGATCAAACAATGGTTTAGGGGATATATCAGCCTTAAACCAATCTCTCTAAATTAAATTCAAAAAGAGAATAAAACACTGATTAACGTATCAGTCTCCTGTATCAATATTTTAAACCTTCGTTAAGACTTATTTTAAATGCAGAAATTCATGATAAGGGCAACACTGATCAGAAAACAATATTTTCGTCTGGTCACTGGCATCTATTGGGTGCTCAAAAGGAAAGTGTTCACACAATTGTAACGATGCGAGTGAAAGATAAATAACAATGAAAAATATTTTATTTATGTATTGGGTCCATTTGCAGTCTCTCTTGCACATTAAACGCGTCCCAGTGGAGAATACATGTATTAATTCATTTCTTTATCTTTCTCTTGAATTGTACCAACAAAAGATTCTCTTGATATTCCTAACCCAAAGAAATCCCTCTACTACTTAAACGATGTGGTTTGGTGCGCTGTTCAATCCAAAAAGGAAATTGTATCAGATTCCCAGTTTTAGGCGACAGGAGGGAATACGAATTTTCTTACAAAAAAAAAAAGTGAAAAAGCTGGATTCTTGGATAAAGCTATATGTTTTATTCCACCAACCATTCTATAATTAATTGGAGACACAACTCACAACTCACTACTCACTACTCACAAGTCACAAGTCACAACCACATATTCTGATATTCACATTCCATTCCCTTGGGAAAATCAAGATCTCTATTCATTCCTATTCCTATGCCAAGATTCACCACCGAAAATCCAATACTCTGTTTGTTAGAGCGGATGGCGGGCGGAGGTAATGATTTTTTTTTTTTATTATTATAGAATCTACCTGTTCAAAGAATACAAACCAATTTCCTCTTCTAATTTGGTTCTGATATACCACCCACTAGTTACTGCTTCCTACTTCCTAATTATATATGATAATTTCATTTTTTTTTTAAATTTCATAGTTAATACTCTGATTTCGATTTATTGATTGATAATTTATGTCTAACTTGCAAATAAAAAAAAGAATCTGAAGCATGTTAAACAATCTAAAATTCCATCAAATAAAATATTCTGACATAAATACAAGGAGATAAAATGCCCACCTAAAAATTACAGAGAAAACGAAAACACGCGCGTACACAATAGAGACGTCACAGAAACGACAGACCAGAAAGGAAACTCTCTAGAGTCTAGACACCGACACAATCCTGATTCCTGACCCTGCGGCAGCAAATATCTCAATTCTCAGGTCGACAATCCCAAGAATCCAGTTCATCCAACCACCAATCCATGACGAACCCTAACGGCCGCCGCTGTTAATGAGGAACCAAATAAAATCTTCTGCACACCTGTATAAGATCTTGTGTCAATTTTATTGCATAGTTACAGAGAAATATATAAATACAACAAGTTGGAGAAAGAGAGACAGAGAGGTCTTACAGGAATTTTATTCATTATTGATTATAAGCTTGTTCACTTGGTGATGGCGTAGATAGCATAGATGATCCCAGGGATATACCCAAAAAGTGTTAGCAGCAAACAGATCCAGAACTCTACCTACAACAACAGTGATCGATCATTATTAGTAAAGATCAATCATACCCCAAAAACTTAAAGAAGAAGAAGAAGTACGAGAAAAGATGGATATATACCTTGCATCCGAACTTGAGAAAGACTCCAAGAGGAGGAAGAATGATAGCCAAGAGGATGTCTATGCAGGTTGCAGTACCTTCACTCGCCATCTTCAAGCCTTCACAAATTAAAGCTAGCTGCTTCCTTTAGAGGGAGAGACACAGTCAGATATATGGAAAGAATTATAGATGAGAGGACTGATCAGGAGACAAAAGAGGAAGCAGGGGTGGTTTAATGGTTTTGTGGTGGTACTGGATCGATGTATCCCACTGTCTTGTGGTTTTGATAACTGATAAGAATGGCAACGCCATGGTGGTTGCCCTCCCCTTTTTATAGAAATACATTACCCACGTGGCCAGGTAACATTGACTGACCGTTGACCCTACCATCCTCGCTGGTTTCGCTGTAAATTAATTCCCTATAATAATTCTCTCCATCCCCCCCCCCCCGGGGGCTTTTCTGGAAATATCTTTTCCCTTTTAATTTCCAGCTAATAAAGGCCTTTTTTTTTTTAATTCAATCCAAAACCAAAAAGTTATTGAAGGAGAGGATTAGAGTGCATGTGCATGTGATGTAACACCCACTCCAACCTAATAGTCCAGGCTGCAGACTGCAGAAGGTGGAGGTGCGTTGCTCTTTAGATTTTAAACAAACTTAAAAAGCTTAATTCCCGTGTTTAGTCCGTGTATATGAACTAGGGCAATAAGAGAGAGAAAGAGAGATAAACGGAGGTGCCGACCACAGGAGGAGGTACAAAACCCAAACCCAAAGACATGATGGTGGAGTGGAGACGAGATGATGTACATGTGAAGAGGAAAGTAATTATCATTTAATTAATTAATAAATGTATATATTTAATCAGCTCATCCCATGTTTTCTTGTTTGATGATCAAGTTTGAATTCTGAAACCCAATAGAGTACGTAAAGGCAATCGTGACCGACGCTGAATTGGCATATGTGTTGGGTTAACGCTGGGGCTACTTCTTTCCTTCCATGTCTTACTGTTTAATAGATCGGTGCATGTGGAATGTGGACGATGTATCCACCTCAACCGTACGTCTAATTAATGTCCATGCAAGATGGTGATTGCCATGATAATGATAATCCAAAACTGCGCAACCAAGCCTCAGTACTCGAGAGTTGAGATTAGTAGGTGGGCCGGTGGCCCACCACCAGTACTGGTATTTTAATTTCGTATTTATAAGTATAATCAGTTTGATCAGTTTGGGAATATTTGGGAGTCCCGGCGCTGCAGCCCCGAGTTTCACTGGTCTGAGTTGAGCCTGATTGAGCAAGCTCCGTCCCTCCGTTCAGGCCAGACGCTAAGGGGCAGGAAAGTCTCGGGTTTGCGGGTCCAGGGCTGCAGTCCTAATACCAATCTGTAGTATATAGATATGCATTGGCCCCCATAATTAAGTACATTGAATGGGACTCATCACTCATATATATAACCATATTGGTCATGCACAAAACTCAGACAATCAAACCCAATGTTACATTGACCATCTGATGAATTGAATTGACCATTATTTGTGCAAGTAACAAGTGTTTCGAAGAAAAATTACTTTTGAGTGAGTGAAGCATTTTTTTAACTTTTCTTCGACGTCCAAAGGAAATGATGGTGTCTTTCGTTCGTGGATGCTACTTTTGGGCCAGGTTATATATCAAGAAAGACCCATCGGATAGTGGGCCCTTCCTTATATGGCGGTAGAGGGCTAAGTAATGGGGTGTTGTGTCCCACTCCCACACGGCACACCCAGATCCTAAATTCAATTTTAAGCCCTTCAAAGGTTCAGCTGGTTGTTGTAGCAGTTGCTAATGTCACGTGGCGGGCCAGCCCTACCATACCTTAAGTGGAATTATTAGATATTTTTTTTTTAATGGATGGAAAAGTATAGTGGTGGGAACATTGCGATATCAAGTGGGTGATGGGGCTGATATAATAGCTGGAATTACAATTAATGGCTTCTTTATTAAAAGAAAATTAATTAGGAAGAGCTCCAGCAAGATTTTCATCTTTGGACAAACTATCCGTGGGTGGGAGATAGCGTAAACTGTCAATGTCACCTTTCAAATAATCTCTCTTACTCAAAATGCTTTGGGGCTAAGAAATCAAAATATATAGATATCGGATATCAAACAAATATTAGCTTCAAGAAATTATCAAATATAAATAAATAAATACATTAGCCCTCCCAAATGGGCTGTTAGAGCTATTTTATATGGAAAGCTATTTGTTTTGTGAAAGAGAGAGGAATTATGTGGAAGATAATTTGATCGAATTTTCTCTTATCTGTCTTGATTAACTTTAAATGGCTCTGATTCGGTTCTCCCATGGGATTTATAAGATTTATATTTTGGACATTGTTCAGTTTAGTCATGCTAAGTTCAAAATTAAATTAGGGCTCAAGATGAGATAGCTCATCATCAGGCTGTTAAAAGGTTGTTTCTCCCAATCTGTATGCACTTGGGGATCAGCTTTGCTTGTTGGATAGTGGTTTGAGTACTTTGCATTGTTTTTTGTATTTACTCGTAAAAAACTGGACTTAATAAGAGGCAGGTGGTCAAAAATTATATTATATTAGAAAATTAATAAATCACACAAATTAGGAGGTCAAATAACTGATTAATTGTTTAATAACATGATAATCTTTTATTAAACTATAATAACATACTACCTAATAAGCACTAGATTTAGATATATTCTAATCGGAAAGGCATCACTACCAACTGCTAACTGCCAATCCTTTCTAAGTCAATATATCATATGAATAGACACTCCAAGTCCATCTAATCCATCTGATGAATAGAAACATCTGCGATGTTGCATATCGGATTAAAACATGTGTCCGCATATTCCCACTCCCAAGTCCAAGTAAAAAGAAAAATAAAAAGCTTTGAATATCAAAATTTGATCTATCTATAATTGGATCAAATTCATCCCTAGCTAATCAGGTATAATTGATTTGATTTAATTTAAATATATATGCTCATATATTCTTAAAATTAATATTGTATTTATTAATAAAGTTGATTTGAATATTATGTTTTTACTAAATTTTAATTAGTTGAAGTTTTGAATAAGTAATTTTTGATTAATTTATTTAAAATGTATATTATCAAAATCATTTTTAATTTATTTTATAATACTAATATTTTTTTAAAACCCCAAACTTTATTCTAGGTGGAGGGGTGGATACCTTAAAATTTAATTGAGATCAACACAAAAATACGACTAATACAGGGGAGGACATAGCCCTCCTTGCTCACACCTGAAAATTGAAGGGAATCACCTCAAAAAAAATTTTCTCCCTTCAACTGGGAATTGCGTTTCCTATTTAGAAAATTATATTTTCAATGATCAATCTTGAACCATAAACTGAACCAGATCTAAACAAAAGCAGTAGGAGAGGATTATACCTGATATAGAGAAATAATATCTTCCAACGAAGGTGTTCACGCCCAAGGAAGAATCCAAAGACTGCTCCCACTGAAGATGGTGCGGTGTTGGGAGGAGCAGAATCAGTAGTGTTCTTCTCCAAGAACCTAGTCCTTCACAAGAAATAACAGGATGGCACGTGAGCACAGCTTCCTATCAATCCCTTCACAAGGAACTGATATCAAGATCGAATCTTGATTTCTCCCACTGAAAAGGAGGTCGAACTGGCAAGTGAGGCGGCGGCAGGAAGGAGGCGGCAAGAGAGAATTTTTGCAGGTACGCTGAATTCTCTCTTCTATGATTTCAGTTCTAAAGAGGATGTGGATATGTGTCTTCTAAAGGTTGTCGCCCCCTCCTTCTTTTGTAACCTTAAAGGATCAGCTCCTAATCCCATTAGGAGTTACTGATCCAAATCATATTTGGATCAGACATCCCTTTAGGTGATAAGGATAAACCCTTATCTTATCTGCGGATTATATCAGCCTTCTCCTAATCTCATTAGGAGGTTTTTAGATCTGAATCACATTCAGATATGGACTCTCTGAGTGGATAGGGTTAAGACCCTATCCTATCTACTAATCCATCCTAGAATTCGCCCCATATTTAACTACTTAAATTAGCCCAGTTCGAAATGGGCTTTAGGTCCATTAAGGTTATGTGCTCACTTAGCCTTCCTAACTGCTGCCCAATTGGACTTCCTTGTATGTGTGGAACCCAAGCATTGATCTACACATCAGCCACATGGGTTCGGCCCAGCCTTTGTTACAAGGCCTGGCCGAATACACTGTTATGGACAGTGCACCCCCTGAAACCCATCATATGGGCTCTATGGGCCCAACACTTACCCTAAGTGGTCCCTGTGCCAAGCCACCTTGTAACACCCAGAGACTGTGGGCATATGCAAGATTAGCCCATCAGGCATTACCCTCTATGGTCTTACACTCAACCTCTCAGCCCATAATGATCAAACACTGCCTGACAAGAGAGGATCTCTCCCTCGGCTGCAAGGAACAGTGTTGCACTCTCTGCTTATATGGATCCTGGGAATTAAAACCTTTTGCAAACATTTTGGAAACCGTAATATATATATATATATTTATTTATATCTCATATAAAATATATTTTGCAAAACGAATCTCAACGATTGAAATCGGCTGCCGACAATCTTGGTTTCCATTAGTGAGAGTGCATCCCCGATCATTACCTTTGTCCGACAAAGGGGCTGATCTTATCACTATGATCACTCACTCAAATGAATTCTCAGGCTGCCCCAACATACTCAGGTTTTGACCCCCGCTAAGGATCTCATTGATTGGTACATCAAAGACAGCCTAATCCGACACCTAGTGTAGTATCATAATCGAGTCTAGGGGTCAGGTGTAACTTTCCAGTTTTGCCCATTAATCTCCAAGGTCCAGGGCAATACTAAAAATCCGGTCCGGTTCAAAGATTCAATTAATCCTACACTGCATGTGCCTAGGGTCTCACCCTGGCGACTTGGTGGCACATCAGTGTCAGCCTTATCAGGATAGGTCTCCCCAGACCAACCCATTGGCTGTGAACATTCTAAACTAACATGAGTCTCATTATGTGTCCAGTTTAAGGGTATTACACAGAAACATACCAAAGGAACATGAATCAAATATGTACTTTATTCATTTACAATAAACTCATAATGTACATCATTCTGATTGAAGCTAAGGGCATACAAAAACTGTCTAACAAAAATAGCATAATTCTCCGTGATACTCTCAATCTCGCCCCAAAAAAGAAAAGAAAACCAATACAATGTTAGCTCCAATTTGCTTGATGTACATTATGGCATTTATTGTAAATGAATAAAGTACATATTTGATTCATATTATATTGGT